GCTTTCACTAGCATTATCTCTTTTCATCCAAAATCCTATTTTTTTCTTTTTTATAAATGAAGAAACAAAATAAAAAGGATTAAATAGCTTGCTCATTATCCAATAGTTGGTAAATATTGCCTTGTCTTTGCACAAACCTTTTATTAAAGAACTTTTCTATCTGTTCTCTAATTTTCTTGTGAATTGAATTTTACACCAGCAGTAAGTCTGTGAAGGTCTGTTTTATTATGCATAATTTCATATGTGAGGAAAATGAGGAAAGCAAAGTTAAGCAAATTTTAGTCATATAACCTTGGATGACAATCAGGTGTATTGATTTTTGCAATTATAATGTATAGTAAGAATTAGAGGTGAGCAGAAATACCATAGTATATATTTTCTTTCCTGTTGCCAGATGTGGTATTATTAATGATGTATATAATTTTACACTTATTCTATTCGAATAGATCCTAGATATATGAAGACCAAAGGGTGGGTAATGAGGGAAAATAGAAAAAAGTGGACCATAGTATATATTTTCTTTCCTGTTGCCAGATGTGGTATTATTAATGATGTATATAATTTTACACTTATTCTATTTGAATAGATCCTAGATATATGAAGACCAAAGGGTGGGTAATGAGGGAAAATAGAAAAAAGTGGGGAAATAGATTTTTTTTATATATATAAAAAAAGCAAAAGTTTGAATTACAGATTTTAAATAAACTACTGATGTATTACTACCTAGACTTTATTTTTGTTTGCATTTTTCCCTCAAAGATTTTATTGAAGTATATTATATATACAGGAAAGTAAACATATCATAAATGTATGGTTTCAAACATCTTCACAAATTAAGTACAGTATGTAACCAGCACCCAAATAAACACACACACTTCCCAGCACCCCTGATATTCCCTTCATACTCCCAGTTATTAATCCCCCTCAAGGGTAACCACTTATAACCTCTAACTTTTAATGTACGGACTGTACTGCACTGTATTTTATATTAGAATAAAGCAGTATGTACTCTGTGTCTGGTCTTTTTTCTGAATATTACATTTAAGAAATTCATCCATACCAATGTGTACAGTTGAAATTTAAAAAAAACCAGTTATTTGTTATCTTCTTGTTGATTTAAAACACAGTTTATTAATTCATTCTACTGCTTGTGGACATTTGGGCAGTTTTCATTTTGGATCTACTAGAAATAATCAGTGGCAGGCTGTTCATTTTGTGAAATGAGCAAGCAAATGATCAGACCAAAGGGCACAGAAACAAGATTTAAGAGAAAGTGTCTCATGCTTTTTATCTTCATCTATATCCCAATTCTTCACATTTTAGCAGACCTATTCGCATAGGAAAGAAGGCTATCTGAGGGCATTTGGCATCAATCTTCTGTTTACTTTTACACAGAGGTTCCTACTTTAGTACTTTACTTGGGTACTCTACAGGTCTATATTTTATTTTTTTAAGATAATTTATTATATATATGTGGGGTACAAAGTTGACTTTCAGTAGTTGTGTACAATGTGTGACGGTCAGATCAGGATGGCTCACCTATTCATCATCACAACAGGTAATCCTTGGTGTCTGTTGACCAACTTCTTGTTACCCCTCCCCCCTCTCCTTTTCCACCTCTAGTAGCCACAGTTCTTTTCTCTCCTTCTAAAAGTTCAATGTATTATTGTGATTGTTGTTTGTTTATTTCTTTCTCTCTGTCTCTATTGTTTGTTTATTTATGGATTCAGCTCCCACTTACACATGAGAATGTGTGGTATTTCTCTTTCTATACCAAGGTTGTTTCACTTAGCATAACTTTCTCCAGGCTCATTCATATTGCTGCAAATGGCAGAATTTCATTCTTTTCTAAGGATGAGTAGTATTCCGTTGTGTATACGTGCCACATTTTCCTTATCCAGTCATCTGTTAATGGACATTTAGGTTGGTTCCATATCCTGGCTAATGTAAATAGATCTGTGATGACCGTGGGAGTGCAGGTATCCCTTTGACATGATGATTTCCATTCTTTTGGGTATACACCCAGAAGTGGGATTGCAGGTCATATGGTAGTTCTATCTGTAGTTGTTTCAGAAACCTCCATACTGTTTCTCATAATGGCTGTACTATTTTATAGTACCACCAATGGTGTAGGAGGCTTACCCCTTCTCTATATCCTCTCCAACATTTGTTTTTCTTAGTCTTTTTAATAACTGGCCAGTCCAACTGGGGTGAGATGATATTTCAATGTGGTTTTGATTTGCATTTCCCTGATGATTAGTGATGTCTAGCATTTTTTCATGTACCTGTTGGCCATTTGTAATCTTCCTTTGAAAAATGTCTATTCAGCACCTTTGTCCATTTTTTAATTGCATTTTATTCTTTTTTTCTCTTTTATAGTGAAGTTGATTGAATTCCTTGTATATTCGTTATATTAATCCCTTGTTGAATGCATAGTTTGTAAATATCTTCTCCCATTCTGTAGGTTGTCTTTTCACTCTGTTGATAGTTTCCTTTGCTGGGCAGAGGCTTTTTAGTTTGATGTAATCCCTTTTTTCTTCTGTTGCTTGAGCTTTTGGGGTCTTATTCATGAAGTCTTTGTCCAGTCCCATGTCCTGAAGTGTTTTCTCTATGTTTTCATCTAGGAGTTTTATAGTTTCAGGTCTTATACTTAAATCTTTATTTTGAGTTGATTTTGGTATATGGTGAGAGGAATGGATCTAGTTTCTTTCTTCTACACATGGACATCCAGTTTTCCCAGCACCGTTTACTGAAGAGGCTGTCCTTTCCCCAATGTATGTTCTTGGTTTCTTTGTCAAAGATCAGTTTGCTGTAAGTATTTCTGGGTCTCTATTCTGTTCCATTGGTCCATGTGTCTGTTTTTCTGCCAGTACCATGCTGTTTTGGTTGCTATAGCTTTGTAGTATAGTGTGAAGTCAAGTAGTGTAATGTAGTCTGTTTTTCGTCTTTTTTTTTGCTCAGGATTGCTTTGGCTCTTTGGGATCTTTTGTTGTTCCGTATGAACTTTAGGATTTTTTTTTTTCTATTTCTGTGAAGAATGTCATTGGTATTTTGATGGGGATTGCAATGAATCTGTATATTTCTTTGGGTAGTATGGACATTTTCACAATGTTAATTCTTCTAATCCATGAACAAGGAATGTCTTTACATCTTTTTGTGTCCTCTTTCTTTCAGTAGGGTTTTGTAGTTCTCATTGTACAGGTCTTTTATCTCTTTGGTTAAATTTATTCCTAAGTATTTTATTATTTTGGTATCTATTGTAAATGGGTTTGCTTTCTTTTTCTGCTTGTTTGTTGTTGGCATATAAGAATGCTACTGATTTTTGTGTATTAATTTTTTATCCTGCAACTTTACTGAATTTGTTTTTGGTAAAGGTTATGCACTACGATGGATTTTCCACTCAGCTAGTCTGCCTGCTCACCTGCGGGGGAGCATGTGCTGAGTGAGTTTGGATGTGGGTCCCAAAAAGAAAGGGGGAACTCCCTCAAAGTTAGGATCGCTGGTGTTTGTGGTGTCAGTGGGAATAGCTGGGGTCTTTTCCAGCTTACCTTCTCTCTGCCTGGTTCCAGGCCAGTCCCTGTAGCGGGGCTGAGGCCTGGATGCCTTGCTCTGCTCTTTAGGGTGCTGTTCTTCCATGCTTCACAATAATTTCCTCAGTCTCTTGTTGCTCTGCACCATGTTTCCTCAAGGTCCAGTCAAAACTCATTTGTTTGTCTGTGTTGTGGTCTCTTTTTATGTGAGGGGACTAGTGCCAGACCTCTCTAGTTGGCCATCTTGGGAAAAAAAACCCTGAGATCAAGTTACGATCAAGACAAATGCCAGATAGTGTCCTGCAGATATTAAGAATTTTTTAATTAATATAAGCCATTCAGAAGACAATTAGAATATCCATTTAGAATGCTCCTCCAGATTCTGCTTTCTTTTTTTTTAAGGGTATTATATTTATTTAAGGGTATTATATATATTTGTATTTAGTTTAGTTTATAGATACAGATCTACAAACTGATACATATCACTGACCTGACTAACATATATACAGGGAATCAACTTTGTTTCTCTGAGACATCTGTATTTATAATAATTATTTATTTACTTTAACTTACATATAATTAAAATCAACTTTTAAAGTAATTTAGGAATGAATGAAGACATATTTACTAGAGCATATAATCAAGGAGTTGTCTTGGAAATGGCTGCAATTTGTTTGAAAGTTCTTAAAATATTCCTCCCCTGCCGCCCCATCCCCCTGATTCAATAGGGGTTTTGTTAATTTCTCAATCTTAATATGTATATTAGGAGGGCCGACATTTTCCCTTATAGCTTATTATCTTTGAGTAATAAATTAGTGATCATAAATATCCATTTATGAGCAGTAATTTATCTCTGTGTTTCTAAATTGTATTTAGTTTTCTGCCTTTTAGATTTGATAATGTCTAATATATATTATTATTTTCTTTCACAGATAAATCTGCACCATTCTTCCATATGTCTTAAAACATAACATACCGTCAATCCAGTGCTTTTATTAAAACACACTTAGTTTTAGGCCAAATTTTTGCTTTTATAGACTGAACTCTAAGCCCAAACCATCTCAAATTTTTTTTTGGATGGTGGTAGTATTTATAGGGCCATGAGAGATTCACTGATTTTATGTAAAAACATGCTTACTGAATTATCAGATATATGACATCATAGTGCAGAAATGTTGGATTAGCAGTTCATAATCAAAACTTTTGTTCTAGATTTCACAAAGACATCTGAATAACTGAATAAATAAGTTTATATCTCTTTCTCCTTCAGTTTTCACACTGTTGAAATTGATACTTGCCCCAATTCCTTCCCACATTGAAGTAAATTGAATCTTCTTTATTTTTCAGTAAGAATTGTAAAGATTACTGTAATTATAAGTACAAATAAATGTCAGTTTTTCTTTCTATAAATATATTAGCTTATTTCCAACAATTCTTTATTCCAGACATTAAATAACAATGACAATAAAAAAATCTAAAAGCCACTCTTTATTGCACATTTAAAATATATTTGACACTCTTCTAGTTAAATGAATCACTAAATTCATTACATTTGGACATGCATTGCTCTTTTAGACTACTGAAAGTCAGTAAATTTATTTTTTTTTTTAAATTTCTTAAGGTGATCCATTCTACAATTTGGAAAGTGTTAATACAGTTCTCTAAAGTGTCTATTGGTGGGAGTTAGTCTTGTAGTTTGTATTTACTATCCTCTTGCTTATAATTAAAAATGTTGCACTAAAGCTATTATTTAGCTCTGCACAAATATGGTGGTCAGTTTTACTGGTAATAGAAGGGAACATAATTAGAGATAATTGGAAACTGAAACTGAATATACCCTGTTAGATTAGTTCCCAAAGAATATAGTATATTTTTAATTGATATAATTTGCCTGAGAATAAGTGGTGATTGGCTAAATATTTTATCAATGAAGATAACTATCTACTCAGATTATTATTTCATTTTATATTTTTACTATTTGTACGTGGTGGGAAAACATGTCTTTACAATAAAAATAAGTATAAAAGTGATAGTGTAAAATGAGAGTCCCAAATCCTAAACCAAGAAGAACCATAAAACTAATACTCACAGTGCATTGTTGCTAAGTACTGGATAGACTAGCTCTTGAATAAAATTTAGTTTCTTATATGAAAAACATTAATAAATAAGTCCATTATTCTCAGGCTTTCTATTAACACCAACAATTTATACAATGCGACATTATAAAAACTTCAAAGCACATTTTAAAAATGTTTAAGCAATTGTTATTTACATAATTTGATTGTTCAACTCTAGTAAGTTATGAAAATTCCTAAAACGGAAAGAAAAAATAGCAAAGAAAGCAGAAAACAACAAATCCAATGACCCAGTTCACGGAATAAATGTAGATGATCACCATATCCATATCAAACCACCATCCACGGCTATCATCCTCAAAGTGCAGGTAATCCATCCTGTGTGCACCATGCGGGAACTGCCTTCTTGTAACTGGAGCTGCACGTCTGTGGAAACCTAGAAGATGTATGAATATATGATTTTAAAGCTCATTAAATTCAATTAAGTGCTCAGAAAGGAAGCTTAATTATGAACACAGGTCCCATGAACAAAGCATATCTTGGTTTCACTGAGTGGTATGTTGTATTCCTGACAGTTTTTGCAATGATACACAACTATCAGAAGTCTCTGCTAGTTCAGGGTGGTAAGGACAGAGACAGTAAAGTTAGCAAAGAGCATGGGATATGGAACCAAGAGACTAGCCTAGTTCTGTCACTTACCTGAGGAAATATTTATCTTTTTGGGTCTTTATTATCTGATCATTTCAAAAATTTGTGAGGATCAAATGTAGTTATTTTGACATGAGAACATTTTCTAAACTTGAACTCCACTCATGTTTTATTTTCACAACTACTGTTACAACTACTGTTTGTAACTTTTGATCACCAATTTAATCTTGTACCTTGAAAATTCCATTTAGTCCAGTTATTTGAGCAAAATTCCCTGAGAAAAATGTCTCTTATCTGTGTTGTCACTGAATAAACTGGACAGATGGACATAATGGTACTCCTTTAAAAAAATTTAGCATTAATTTTAATAAATTTCAAAGCATGGGCCTATTTAAGGATATTCATTGGCACATAAAACACAAATCTTGAAAGTAAACTACAGTTTACTTTTTACTAAATAAATATGACATTTCTGAGAAATATTGCAGTTCATGAAACGCTGTTTTTTTTCCCCTTTGTTTATTTACATGCTAAGTATTACAGCTTGAGTATAAACTTATCAAATGGCAACCTGTTTTTGTTGGGTGACCAATATATAACACCAAATACATTTAAAAAACAAAATTCAATTTCCTAAGGACTGATAATCTCATAATCTTTTTTCTTTTTACTTATCTACTGCCTACCTTAAGTATTTATGTGTTTATTAGTGTTAGAGAATGGGGATAGCACAATAAACTAAGGGAAAAAAGCTGTAATTCTGGTACTTGCTAGCAACTCTGGTGATATAGGTTCTGTGAGACTCTAGCTTGAAGAAAATTCTGGTTCATCCAGTTTAACAATTGAGTAATGTTACGTATTATGCTGTAGATCAGGCTGCTTATTCTGACAGCAAGGTTGTACTCACCTGGATATTAGTATGGTCATTTAAAGTCAAACCTCTTTTGTTTTTTTTGGGGGGGGGCAGGCAAGATGGCCAACTACGGCCACCTGTACTCATCCACCCCACAAAAAAAGGACCTAAATAATGAATATCCAACCATATCTTGATGGCAGTGCCTGGAAAAATATACTAGAGAGCACCAGAATAGCAGCAAAACCCCTCTGAAATGTGAAAGCCCAGGATACCAACACAGACAGGGGAACAAGGCACCTTCCCTTTGCCACACCATCTACCCAGCCAGATGGGCTCAGAGTCAGGGAGGACTTCCTATGGGGAAAAGGTAAGCTAGAGAACCCCAGGGGTCCCTATAGCTGCCATAGACACCCAGAAGTTTTTTTTTTTATTTTTTATTTTTTTATTTTTTTTGTCTTTTTGTCTTTTGTCTGTGTCCGGCAACGGATCGCAACCCTCAGTGTTGCCCCCGTACCGGACTGGGGACCGGCGACGGGATCGCAAGCCTCGGTGTTGCTCCCGCGCC